GTATAGTACCCTTTTATTATTATAGATAATATTTATAAAAGAACATATACCAAAAATATTTGATTTATCATACGGTTAATTATGATTGAGTATAAGTATAATTACTTTTTATTAATTACAATTAATCATGCAAATAAATATGATATTGACCTTACATTTATAACTCTTTTTATATCTAGTATCATCAGAAGACTTGCAATTTACTCCTGAATCTCTCTTGGAGGAGCTGTACTCAGAGTATGAAGGCCTGGAGGAATTAATAAAGAAGCAAATTGCATCCTTTTCCCGAGGAATTTTGATCTTTTCTAGAAGCTGGGCTGTGGACCTGAGCTTGCAAGAGAAACAGGGAGTCATATGCGATGCTCTGCTGGTAACACAGAACAGCCCCCCCATTCTCTATACCATTCTTGGGGAGCAGGATGCAGATGGGCAGTTGTACTGCACCAGTACCGCCTTTACCTTGAAGCAGAAGCTGGTGAACATGGGGGGCTACACTGGGAAGCTGTGTGTCATGACCAAGGTCCTCCATCTGAGTCCTGAGAGCAATGCAGAGTCCTTTGAAGGTTCAGACTCTCTGATTAAGTACCCGAAGTCCTACTACCTTGCAGACACTAAGCAAATGGAAGCCTTGCTGCAGTCCCTTGTGATTGTCTTGCTCAGCTTCAGGTCTTTCCTGAGTGACCAGCTTGGCTGTGAGATTTTAAATCTGCTCACGGTCCAACAGTATGAGATTGTCTCAAAAAACCTCCGCAAGACCCCAGAATTGTTTATCCATGGTTTACCTGGCTCAGGGAAGACAATCGTGGCCATGAAGATCATGGAGAAGATCAAGAATACGATGGGTTGTGAGAAAAATGAAATTCTCTATGTTTGTGAGAACAAGCCTCTGAGGGACTTCATTGGGTAAGCAGTTGGATCTCGTTGTCACCAAATGAGGTTCAGTGTGAAATCATTCCATGTCTTCCTCTACTCAAATCACTTTGTTCCTTTTTTTAAAAATCCTCATCCGAGAATATTTATCCTTTGATTTTTAGAAAGAGTGGAAGAGAGAGGGAAAGACAGAGATAAATATCGATGACCCATTGGTTGGGGAGGGTCCAGGCTGGAAAGGAGCCTGCAACTGAGATACATGCCCTTGACCAGAATTGAACCTGGGACCCTTCGGTCCGCAGGCTGATGCTCTATCCACTGAGCCAAACTGGCTAGGGTATCACTTTGTTCCTTGACAGTAGGGTGGTAAATTGATCTGTAACAACAGTCCTGTGTTTGTAGGAGTATGATAGAGCAATTTTCCTCCTTTATATACTTGGAGAAAACCTGATTGTGTCTTTTTAATTGTTACAGTAAAAAAGATATCTGCAAAGCAGTGACCCGAAAAACCTTCATGAAAACAAACTCAAACTTTGAAAAGATTCAACACATCATCATCGACGAAGCTCAGAATTTCCGCACTGAAGATGGGAACTGGTATGAGAAGGCAAAAACCATCACTCAGAGAGGAAAGGATGGCCCTGGAATTCTCTGGATCTTTCTGGACTACTTTCAGACCAGTCACACGGACTGCTGTGGCCTCCCCCAGCTCCGATACCAGTATCCAAGAGAAGAGCTCATCAGAGTGGTCCGCAATGCAGACCCAATAGCCAACTACCTACAAAAAATAATGCACGAAGTCAGAGAAAATCCACCACCTAACATCCCCTCTGAGTCCCTGAATATCTTCAGTGAAGCTGAATGGTCTCAAGGTGTTCCAGGCAACTTAGAGATGAGTGAGCACAAGGATATGGAGCAGATGGTGGATTATATAACAGGAAAATGCCATTCACTTTTGAAGGCTGGATATTCCTGCAAGGATATTGCTGTGATTTGCAGCATAGAAAGTGATAAACACAAATATAAACCTGAGCTTCAAAGAGCAATAAGGAAGAGAAGAAAGTCTCAGTCCAGTGAGGAATCTGATCAGTTAGTGGTAGGAGATGCATCAGCGATCATGGGCAATCACATTGTATTGGACAGTGTCCGTCGATTTTCAGGCCTGGAAAGAAACATCGTGTTTGCCATCAATCCAACAACGGCTGAGCCAGCTGTTTTCCATAATCTTGTCCTCTGTCTGGCTTCCAGGGCAAGGAAACAGCTGTATATTTTGATTCCCTTTGAAGGAATGACTAACTCTGCATCATTTTAATGATGGTCTTAATTTTTCCTATACATGAGCACAGTATATGCTTGTGGAGAGCAGCTATAGTGTTTGGACAGGTTCAAGCCTTGGGCTAATGAGAGGGCACAGTCCTCTCATGGCAAAGCCACGTGCAAGTCCCAGCTTGGACGGCAGAGCCCTCCCAGCACAATTATAGCCAACAGCTATAGTTGTAAGCTTGAACCTATGGTCCAAACACGTGGCCCCATGAGCCTGTCAGTGGTCGGCAAACTGCGGCTCACGAGCCACATGTGGCTCTTTGGCCCCTTGAGTGTGGCTCTTCCACAAAATACCACGTGTGGACACGCACGTACAGTGCGATTGAAACTTTGTGGCCCATGCGCAGAAGTCGGTATTTTGTGGAAGAGCCACATGTGGCTTGCGAGCCGCAGTTTGCTGACCACTGGCCCTAAGTGATGTGGGCTTGATAGAGTTCATGTGCATGTAATTGAGTAGGATCAAAACCCACGAGAATGTTGTAAACATCTTGACCATGCTCTTACTTTGCCTCGGGGAATCTGGCTATAGAATAGACATGGTTTGTAGTCTGGCACTGTCACTAGCTCTCCATCAGAGGGGACAGTGCTCCACCCAGACTCAGCCTTCTTCTCTTGTCTGTCTTTTCTCAATCCTTCACCACCTGCTCTCAGGGTCACCGAATCTGACTGAGCTGGCATGGCACATTAGGTGCCCAACGTGGGGCTGAGTATTCCATGGCCATGCTGGCTCGCCACATATGCATCTACTTATTTGTATCTCCCTCAATTTCTTCCTTCAGTATCTTATACTTTTCTCATTACAGGTCTTTTACCTCCTTGGTCAAATTTATTCCTAGGTACCTTATTTTTGTTGTTGTTGCAATAGTAAATGGGATTTTTTCTTAATTTCTCTTTCTTATAGTTTCTTATCGGTGTATAAAAATGCCACAAATTTATGAATATTAATTCTGTATACCACTACTTTGCCAAATTCATTTATTAGACATAGTAGGGGTTTTTTGGTAGAGTCTTTAGGGTTTTCTATATACAATATCATCGTCTGCAAATACTGACAGTTTTACTTCCTCCTTTCCAGTTTGGATGCCTTGCTTGAGTAAACCCAGCAGAGATCACTCAGGCTGTCCCAGGGCAGACAGCCAATCCAACTTATAGAATGTTTAGCTATATAAATGGTTATTGTTTTCTACCATTAAATTTTGGGTGGATATGTTAAGCAGCAAACACTGATACAATAACTTCTCAAAGAGATATCTGCACACCCATGTCTATTGCAGCATTATTCACAACAGCCAAGATATAGAAACAACCTAAGTGTCTATCAAACAATGAATGGATAAAGATGTGGGATATAGACACATGTAAATATTTCTCTCTTTTTCATGTCCAGCATGGCTAGAGAGCGGTCTGGTTCCTGAGTAGGGGCGGCTGGGGATTGGGAAAATGAAAGAAAGAGATAGGCACAGAGATAGAAGGAAAAAGCTGGGGCTGGGTGGGACAGCTGTTCTCTGATGGAGAGACAGAGACCCAGAGCCAATACAGCGTGTTTACTTTATAGTCTGATTAAAACAAGGGTAGATTAACATGTATACAAAGGTTCTTGTTTTGGCAACGCTTGCTGCACCTCCCACAGCCAATTAGCTTCTTAGGAAGGAATTAGGGAGGGCTACAAGGTCAGGCTTAATTATGCTAAGAGAGCTCTGCCCTCCAGGCCAAGGCTTGACCCTAGAGCCGCTTCCTACATACAAAATGAAATATCATTAAGCCATGAGAAAGAAGGAAATCCTGCCATTTGTGACAACATGGATGAATTTTGAGGGCATCATGCTAAGAGAGATAAGTCAGACGAGAAAGTGTACAAATACTGTGTAATGTCACTTATATGTGGAATCTAAAAAAACTGAAATGGAGAGAAGAAAAGTGGGTACAGCAGCTGGGGACCAAGGAGTTGGGGGGATGTTGTTTAAGGTTATAAACCTGCATCTAGTAGATAAAAAAGTTCTGGAGATCTAGAAGATAGATTAGTGTATATCATCAATAATTCTGTATTATAAACATCAAGGTTTCTAAGAGACTAGGTCTTAATTGTTCTTACCACAAAAAAAGAAATGATAATTATGTAACTTAATAGAGGTGTTAGCTAACACTATGATGGTAATCACACTACAATGTATAAATGTGTCCAATCAATATGTTGTTTACCTTAAACTTATACGGTGTAATGGTAATTAATCTCAATAAAAATAAATGTTAGCTGTTGCTTTTGTTACTATTGGATATAGCAAGTTGCATTAGCTCTACACATGGTACTGTAAAACAAAACAACCTTAAGGAGAAGGTTTAAAATATACAAACCTAGCCCTGGCCCGGTGGCTCCATTGGTTAGTATCATCCTGATACGCCAAGATTTCAGGTTCTATCCCTGGTCAGGGCACATATACAAATCAACCAATGAATGCATAAATAAGTGGAACAACTTCTCTCCCTCCCTCCCTCCCTCCCTCCCTCCCTCTCTTTTTTCTCTCCCTCTCTCACTCAAAATAAAAAAAACAATTTTTTTTAAAAATAAAATATATAAACCTCATTATACATCCTTGAAAGACTAGAGGAGCAAATTTTGAGATCAGATTCAATCCCCACAAACAGGAAAATGGGGAAGAAAAAATCTTTGTTCATTGTTACTGAAGTTACACAATAACTAATAATAGCCAGATTTGTTGAGCAGCTACTATCTGCCAAGAACTCTTCTGGGAGCTTTACTTCTTTTTTTCTCTAAATTTTATTGATTTTTTACAGAGAGGAAGGGAGAGGGACAGAGAGTCAGAAACATCGATGAGAGAGAAACATCGATCAGCTGCCTCCTGCACACTCCCACTGGGGATGTGCCCGCAATCACGGTATATCCCTTGACCGGAATCGAACCTGGGACATTTCAGTCTGAAGGCCGACGCTCTATCCACTGAGCCAAACCGGTTAGGGCGGGAGCTTTACTTCTACACACTCCCTCAATCCTTTTCACAGCTCTATAATGTAGATACTATTACCTCCGTTTTACAGATGAGGAAGCCAACTCAAGTCACAAAGAGATGGCATGGAAAAGTCCAAGGTTGTAGAGCTGTTAAGCGACAGAGACAGCAGATCCACTGTCTTCTCCGCTATGTACTACGTTCCTCTCCAAGTGACACTTTTCACTCTAGGCCTGGAAAATTCACCAGTTTCAGGGAAGACCAGAGATTACAGAGGAGCCCATGGCCAAAGACGTACCTGGCCTGTAGTAGACATGGGACACAGGTTTTGGAAAGCATCAGCTGTAGCTCCAGTTCAAAAATCTGCTGATGGGGATTCTTCAGCTGGCAAAAGAAGAGGAGGCACTGCCCAGAAATGTAAGAAGTTCCAGAGCAGGAGACGGGAGGAGTAGCATCAATCAACATGTCATATGGCTAGAAAATTACCTTGGAGTATTGCTAGGTAAGACAGGGAGAAGAGCGCTAATCAAAAGGAAGTAGAGCCCTACCTGGTTTAGCTCAGTGGATAGAGCCTCAGCCTGCGGACTGAAGGGTCCCGGGTTTGATTCTGGTCAAGGGCACATGCCCAGGTGGCAGGCTCGATCCGCAGTAGGAGGCGTGCAGGGGGCAGCTGATTAATGGTTCTCTCTCGTCATTGATGTTTCTATGTCTCTTCCTCCCCTTTCTTCTCTGAAATCAATAAAATATTTTAAAAAATAAGAATGTTGTAGTTTTCTTTTTAAAAAAAGGAAATCATATCAAGCATCGCTCAGAGGTTTTATGACCAGAAAGTGAGGTGTGGGCTTTGATTCATCACAGAAGTAGCAGGAAATGGGGAAAAGGGGGTATGGAAAGTAAGGTTTTAGAACGCATTGGGAGGAAGTATGTGTTGAGGAATATCCCGAGGACTGGAGTTGCTATCACTGCAGGAGGCAACCGATCAATGTGTCCATGTCACATTGGAGTCCCTCTCAGCCCATCTCCCCCACTGCCCCTCCATTCTCTAAAAATCAATGGGAAAATATCCTCAGGTGAGAATTAACAAATAAATAAATATATATACAAATTGGTCCATAATAGATGTTCAAAGGCACCAACTAGGAATATTAAGAATTGGGATTTACAGCCCTGGCCGGTTTGGCTCAGTGGCAGGGGCGGGCAAACTTTTTGACTCGAGGGCCACAATGGGTTCTTAAGCGAGATCGGAGGGCCGGAACAAAAGCATGGATGGAGTGTTTGTGTGAACTAATATAAATTCAAAGTAAACATCATTACATAAAAGGGTACCGTCTTTTTTTTTTTAGTTTTATTCATTTCAAATGGGCCGTAGTTTGCCCACGGCTGGGATAGAGCATCAGCCTGCAGACTGATGGTTCTCATCATTGATGTTTCTAGCTCTCTCCCCTCTTCCTTCCTCTCTGAAATCAATAAAAATATATCAAAAACGCACCCCACAAAGTGTTAAAAAAAATAATTGGGACTTACAAGGAGTCAGCATTATGAGAAACATGGAACAGTCATTTGAAAATATAATCATTTGCTTATGGTGTCAGAATATAAGACAATTTTTTGAATCTATTCCTGATCTATTTTTCTCTCACAATGGATTGGGAAATATTCCACATATAAAGTGTTCTAGGCATGCTCTCCCTCCCAGGAGCAATCCCTCACACCTTTTTTTCTCTCTCAGGCATGCATCTCCTAAACTCTAAGGGTCCCCATGAGACTTGCAACCAGGAGAGCAATGGGCAGCAGCAGCTAGTCCCAGGTGAATGCCCTGAGCTTGTACCCAAGGCCCTCTTTCCTCTGACTTCTCAGTGAGCCATAGCAGCCCCACCTACGCTCTCTCCTCTTGCTTCACTGCCTCCATTTTGAAGATTGGGTGTTTGGATATTTGGGCATTTCTCCCAGAAAGGAAATGGTGCGAGGTGTAATTTCCTCCAAACCTAGGGGTGCAAAGTGTTACAATTAACCTTTGATAGATTTTCCCTAGTATAGTTAAAGCCCCCAGGCCAACTACCACGGACAACTGGAA